TTCATGGTTTTCTACAGTATTTTATCTCACAAAAAACACACGTAAATAAAAAATGGTTCTAATCCATGAACCAAATGGAGTAGCCTGTTTTTTATTTCGATGGAGATAAATTAGAGATGCAAGAATGGGCCGGCCCGGCCCGTTTTCTTTAGACCAACGCGGGTTGTGGGCCGGACCGGTCCAGCTCACGAATTTTATGGATTAGGGCGGGCTGATTCGTATAAGAATTATCTCGGCCCAATCCACACTACGGGCTAATTTTATGTGGGCTAGATTGGGTCGTGCCGTGGGTTAGGATGGGCCGTGCCATGGGCCTTGAATGAGGTGGCCCATTCAAGGCCCATCTTTGCCCATTTAAGTATGCAATTTTCAATTTTGTTATTTTTTTTATTTTTAAATTTTTAAACAAGTTAACAAATATAAAAGTTTAAATAGTCAATGGAAATATGAAAAATGATATTTTATTTATGATTGTCTCATTAAATAAAAACATTTTTAAAGAAAACCCAGTGAGACAAAACTTTAGTAAGGAAAAAAGAATACAATGAGGATAATTATACATAAGATGTTTATAAAATTATTAAAAAAAAACATAAAGATATGGTCGTGCCGAGCCGGCCCATAAGTCGATATATGTTGGTCCAACTTAGCTCATTAATATTTATAAGTTGGGTCGTGCTTTAAATAGTGACGGGCCGTGTCGGCCCAATCTGTCACTGTGTCAAGATGGGCCTGGACCGGTCCTGACCCATTGTTGCATCTCTAAGATAAATCTCTATGACATGAGAAATGGGCTCCGCGTGGTGGGACCCACATAAAATCCCTTTAATGGAGCCCACTTTTTGTGTCTAATGGGAATTTAACCCATCAGAGCAAATAGAAATGCTCTTTTTATTTATATTATCTAATATTCCCTTTAAGCAAATTTGATGTCCATTTCCTTTTTTTTTTATTGGTAGAAAAACCATTTTGGTATGGACAGTGATGGAGTATGTCTGTTTTACTTATAATTTTTTATACGGAAACACCCCTATAACGGTAAAAGAAAAAAAATGATGGCGAAGATTTGATTTTTTCTATGCTTGTGGTGTTTTATTTTTCTATTTTAATTTTTGAATGGTGATTTTTCAACTTTACATAAATTTCATGTCGTTACGTAATTCTCACTGTAATTTTCTAATTGTAGTCTTGTTTAGTTTTTTTTTTTTTTTTTAGAAGATTTGTTTAGGTAATTTAGTGACACTTTCTCATGGTTTTAACCATCTTTCTAACAAGTTTCTGTTTTTGTTATTTCTTTTGGGCACCTCATTTCCATGTTCTTCCGCATTGGATATTTTTGTAAATTTAGTTAAAAAAAACTAGTTAGAATTTAGAAGAGAGTTTTACTACAATATCAGCAAAAATTTTAGAGAACTCAATGTAATTCTTCAAATAAAAATGAGGGAAAATTACACTTTGTACCGTTGTTTTATTGAATTAGAGATTTAGTGCTTTAATATTTAGCTAATATCAAATTGATATTTTGTATAATATCAAATTGATATTTTGTATAATATCAAATTGACATTTTATACTTTAAAAATTGCTCTATGAGAAGTTTGAGGGTATTTTCAAGAAAAAAAAAAATTATTTATACCCTTTTAATCTAAAACATGTCAAAAATAAACAATAATAATAAAAAAAAACAATTGGCATGATTCCAATTTATTTTTTTAATTTCATATCAAAATACAATTTTCCTTAAAATTGCATTTCTTATCTTCTTCTTTTTTTTTTTTTTTTTTTTTTTTTTTTTTTTTTTTTTCGAATCGATGTCGTGGCATGTCATATATCAGTGATTAAATAGCCCTTCAAGTTTGAACAATCTGCTAGTTTCTTTAGAGGCGCGTGCATTCTCACGTCACCGATTAATGTGACAAAGCAATTGGGAATTTTATATGTTTGAGATTTCCAACAGAATTGACTTCCCACTTTTCCCACTTAAACTAACTAGAATTATATAAATAACTTGCGCACACGCTTTAAGCTTTTGAGTATGCTATATTGGACCATGTATTTTTCTAAATGCGACCTTGTTTTTAACGTGAATCTATTGCAATTTCTACACATGGGGTAAAAATCGTTATATAACTATGTCGACAATTGATAATTCAATTCAATAAAGTGGTACAAATACAAGCTTCAAGCTATGAATTAAATAGATAGAGTGCCCATATAAGTTGGTTCTACAGCCACCACCTTCCACTTGTCCAATTTTATTATTATTATTATTATTATTATTTACAAAAAACTTGTCTAATTTTAAATAGAGATTATATGAGTAATCTTGATAAATACTCTTTAAAAGTGTATGAGTAAGAATTTTTACATTTTACTCTTAATTCATAACTTTTTTTGCTAAATAATTACACTAATAAAAATATATTTATCAAGAGTAAAGAATAAAAGTCTATGCAAGTAAAATCTCCGTATTTTCAAATTACTAAGGGCTTATTCGGTTGCATTTTTAAGTTATTGTTCTTTTGCATTTTTGAGTTAGGGTGACTTGAGTGATGATCTTGAGTTGAGTTTAAGTTATAACTTGAGTTGAAGTTGTAACTTAAGTTTGTGTTTGGCTGTGCATATTTGAGTTATGATTTGAATTGAGAATTTTTTTGAGCTTGTGTTTGGGTGGGTCAAAACTTAAATTTGTATTTAGATAGTATTTTAATTAAAACTCAATAGTTATGAAAAATTTTAATAGGGTATATGGGTGGAGTTTTATTCGTCTATTCGTTGTGAACGCATAAAAAAAGCATCTCAATCAAAATTAAAATGAAAAAGTTATAACGTTATTAGAATATAAAAAATATTATTTATTAACTTGAATTTGAGTTTAAGAACTTGAATTGAAGGAAAAATTTGAACTCATATTTTAGCCACAAACTCAAAATAAAACTTGAGTTAAAACTCAAGTTCAAATTTAAATTTTATAAACGAATATAAACTTAAAATAAAATTATAACTTGAGTTTAAATTTTTTTTGAATTTTATTCGAAGAAGCCCTGAAAATATTGGCAACTTCCAAGAGCTCGATATGAATTCAGTTCGGACTTGTTATGTGAAACATGCTAGAGGAAGGCAATGAGGATGGGCTCCGTAATAAATGAGCTTACCAGTGCTAATCCAGAGAAATCCACAGGCCCAAAAGACACGAATGGGCCAAGCTAGCACATACAGGCATATGGATGGCTACTGGTGTATATTGAAGAAAAAAAAGGAGAAAATTACGTGTACTACTACTACCATCATTTTTTAACAACATAAAATATACGTTTGTGTCATTTAATATTATTTTTCTACTGATTTAATAAAAAAACATGTGTTTACTTTACCACTTCGAGGACGTAAATGTAATGTCAGTTAGTACTATTATGAGTGGTTTCATTTTTTTCATTTATTTTCTCCCATTGAAAAGTCGAGAATTTTCTGAAAGATCGTCCAAACAACAAAAGCAGGTTTAGTTCCCAAAAATGAAAGTGATTTGCAGGAAGTAATATCAAACACAAACAGTTCCACTGTAGAGAAAATTCAGATTCTTTAATAAAAGTCATAGATAATGATTTATAAGACTTTTTTGTTTGATAGTATGCAAACATCTACAGTGATGTAAGTGACGATGTAATTGGCGCTTACCCTTCAATAATTTTCTTTGAGTTCAACTTATCAACGAACGTTTGGTTGATAAATTTAAAATTATGATTCAGAATTATTTTTAATTTATGTATGTTTTTTATGAGAAAAAACACTATAACGAATCACAAATCATGACATGAATTCTCGAACCAAACACACAAAATTTTATTAATTCAAATTACAACTTAAATTTTTATTATTTTTTTATAAAAAATTTAATTAAAATTTTTACATAATTTTTTATTTTTTATAAATTCACATTTTAATTCGAGAACTGCTGAAACAAATGAGGTCGAAATTATCTGTTTCTGCGGCAGTCCAATGGCAGCTGAAGCAGAGCCTCTAATGTTATTATCTACCATCTACATGTCATGAATCATGACTGCACTAAATTGAAGGCGAATTTTTGACTTTTTAAAAAAAAAAAATGTTTTTCTTGTATTTGGTTTGGTGACAAATTATGACCCGTTCTTGATGAACGGCAATGATTCCCGCTCACATATTCGCATATTCTGTGCATGTTATGTACACGACATCAAATCCGCGAGGACAAATATGGAATTTTTGGCACAAAAATGACGGTGCTACCTTTTATAATTGCACTTCAAAATAATACAATATTAACAATTTCTAATACTATTCAGTCCCTTTGCGCGTAACAATTAAAAAGGGAACAAATAAAGTATGATTTATCCAGCTTCCCAAATCAACCAGATCAGCACCATCTATTTATATACAATCATACAACGGCACAAATAATAAATATTGTCTCATTTTATTTTTTTGCAATTTCTTCTTCCTTTTTAACATGATCCAACTACCTAGAAAAGTCAAAGCAAAATAAACGATCTAATTGCAATAAGGGTACTTTGTATATTTGTCTCATAAGCTTGTAAGATTTTGATAATTTGTCCTTAAAACTTTAAGTTTTTACAATTTGCTTTATAACTTGTGAAAGTGTTGCAATATATCTTATTTTACCAATTTTTATTTTTTTGGGGTTAGATTTAAGTATGAATTTAGATGTTGAAATTTTTCGTCATCAATTTAACATGATTACCATCAAAATGAGACACATTATAAAAATTTTACATGTTAAGTGAACAAATTACTGAGATTAAAAATTTATACAGTAAATCACCAAAATCTTATAAATTCAGGGATAAATATATAAAATACAGTAAATTACCAAAATTTTATAACCCTTTTGATTCGTGCGTTTAAGTCAGTAATTTTGATTCTAAATTCAATTTTTTTGAGAGAACCATTGACGAGAAATTTTTTTTATTTAAATTCTTATGAAAAAAAAATAATGTAGCAGAATCAGACTCATGATTTAAACGCCTTAAACAAGGGCCTTATAAATTCTAGAATAATTATGAAAAATTCCCTATGATAAACCCAACTTCATAGGGTTGTACGTTTAGCCTGGATTAAATAAAAATATCATCCCAAACGTACAACTCCGAAAAGAATATCATATAATTGCAATACGAGAGGACATAAACTTCCTTTATATACGTCACATACTTTATTGCCTTAACTCGAACTTCCTTTCTCCTTCCTAACATATCTCTCACTTTTTTATGATAAACACCGGTCGAACAAAACAAGCTTCACATCTCGAAAATCAGAAACCAAAGCCATTTTCGGAGAAAACTAACTAAGAAACTCGTCCTAAAATGTCTGTGTCGTTACCGGAGAACAATAAGGATGTCAGTCCTCAATTAGATCAGTACTATGACCAGATCTTCAGAATCAGCGGTACTAGTACTAGTAGTACTACTGGTGTAAGCGAGATAGAGGAAGAGGGTCCAAGCGGCGACGTTCCGGCGGAGATCAAGGAGCTTTTCGAGATGAAGAAGTTCGCGCCGATGCCGTCCATCAAGGAAGAGTATGATAAGGGGAGCTTGTACTCGAGCACAGAGGATCACAGCGTCTACGTCGCCGTCGGGAAGAGCCCGTCCAGCCTGGACGCCTTGGATTGGGCGTTGAGGCACGCGGTGAACCCGCCGTCGACCACGGTTTATCTCATTCATATTTATCCAGAGACCCGGCAAATCCCAACCCCTTGTAAGTTTCGATCTTATACTATTTTTAAAATAGAGATGTATTAATCCTAACTTGTTTATTAAATTTTGGTTATCGACACGTTTCGAAAAATTTATTATGTTATAATATACATGTATCTATAATCAAATAAATGATATAAATTTATAAGTCCTTGCATTACTCAGTCCAAAAGTTCGTCTGTTTTTTCTGTTGAGGAGTTAATTACAAGTCATGGTCAAACCGGCCTATGTTGAAAAAAAAGACCACGCCGGGCTAATTTCTGGTCCTAAGTGTGACTATTTAGCATGAAGACAATAAGTACCGATGAGATATTTTTGGTTTTTATCGGACAGGATTTCAGATCCATACATATAGTTGAAAATTTTGATAGATGCCATTTTTTTTTAATAATTTTATTAATGTTGAAGTTGACTCTATATCACCAACACTTGGTCCCTTTGATGCATTATTAAGTGTCCTGAATGCTGTTAATTGGTTTAGATTTATACCTTGTAAGTATTAATGTGAATTATATTAATGTGGGATGGATGCAAGGTTGGTGTAAATGGATGAGTCATGAGTCAAAATGTGAAATAATAGTGCTTCTTATTAAGGGTGGTAATTCGTGGTAGTGGTTCGTGTTCGTGTCAACCTGTTTATTAATCGTGTCAAAAAATATCAACACAAACACGACTTGTTTATTTAACATGTCAAAAATGTCAACCCAAACACGACCCATTTATTAATCTGTTAATTGTGTCAACCCGTATAACTCATTTAAATTAATATATTGAATAAATAACTAATATAATAATGACTTATTTAACACGGTTAAGACATATTTAACATGTTTATTGGTCAATTTATCTTTTCCTTTAAGAAACATAAATGAATTATACCTACCAATATTAAAATTCACATTATTTGTATTTAATATGTCATATAAACTTTCATGTTATATCACATATAATTAGATTGCAGATGACACATAGTTAATCGTGTCAATTCGTGTCACTTTGCGTTAAGAGGTCAACCCTAACCCAACTAATTTATTAATCGTATTAATTGTGTAAACCCGATTATGACTCGAACCCATTTATAGTAAACCTAAACCCGCTAATTTTGTGTGGGTTTGGAGTTGTATCGTCATGTCGCTACTCGGATTACCAGCTCTATTTCTTGTCCTCAGTTGGCTTAGCTAGTTTTAGGCTTGACTGACTGACCCAAGCTAATTAACTGAACAGGTTAATTAGAGGGTACTCAAGAACTTATTTCAAACCTTTAAAAAACTAGATTTACCTTCTGTCTTTCACTAAGAAGTTGATCTTATACGGTAACATATAAAAGTATGGGATGTGCTTATATGGTATTTATTACTTGTCTAACAATGACTTTAGACAAACATTGATATTTCTTGTCGTTATTATACCTTCACAAAATCACTTACATGAAATATATATTATCTTACACCTCTTACATGTAGGACTAATTCTTCGTGAAGAGCTAGAAATCTTGGTCTCAAAAATATATTCTTTTCAGAATAAAGTAAAAACGGAAATAATTGTTCATGCCCCATTCTGGAGATGAAATAATTTTCTCATACCATAATAAACAAAATCAATTTGCATCAAAAGATTTTTCTTTGTTAAGTTGTCTCTGGTATTACGCATGATCTGGTATTATAACTAATTTTGTGATTAATATATATAGTAGGAAAGCTTCCCTTGAGTCAAGTGAGTCCAGAGCAGGTGGAAAACCACATGGCCCAAGAAAGAGGCAAAAGAAGAGAGCTCTTACAAAAGTTCATCTATAAATGTTCAGCTGCCAATGTAAGAAGCCAAAACACATATTTATGCCAATTAATACTTGATATGTCTTGCATTAATGGAAGATATATATATATATATATATACACATATATTTATATTTATATAGCTAATGTATCACACTTAAAACTGATGGAGGAAACAATAATACATATGACGAAACAGGTTAAGGTGGATACAATACTGATTGAGAGTGATGGGCTGCCAAAGGCTATCTTGGACCTAATTGATATTCTCAACATAAGGAAGGTTGTGCTTGGAACCACCAAATCCAGTTTAAGGTAAGGTTTACAAAAACTACTACCAAGTTAGTGAAGAAATCTATTCAAGAAGATTCCTATAATACTTAGCTTCATCCTTATTTAGTGAAGGGTTTTTTTTGGTGGAATTTATAGGAAATTAAAATCAAGGAAAGGAACAGGGACGGTGGATCAGATACTCAAGAGTGCACCAGAAACTTGTGAAGTTAAGATCATATGTGAAGGAAATGAAGTGATGATCGAGGCGACAATTGAGTCGCCGTCTCCACGTGGCAATGTCGATAGCTCCAGGGAATCTGATAACTCCAAGTCCAGGGAATCTGATAACTCCAAGTCCATGCAAGAAGAAGAAGAAGATCAGCGTAACGAATCCATTTCTTGCATGTGTTTCAGATCATCCAAATTACCATAAGATATACAAGACATCCCACAACGCGGGGATAGCTCAGTTGGGAGAGCGTCAGACTGAAGATCTGAAGGTCGCGTGTTCGATCCACGCTCACCGCAATCTCGAAATATTATATTTTTCTTTTTCCGTAAACTGCTCTTAGCCCGGCTATGACGTGGAAATGGAGGATTTTGCTTCTATTATAATTATAAAATAGACGCCCATGCTATGGAAATATATGATTTTATTTATTTAATTTTTATTTTCTGACATTTCTGTTTATATTATTCAAAATGCGTACGAATTAAGCTCCGTTTATTTCACCAATTCAACTTTAAAATTTAAGTTTACTACAGTAAAATTTTTTTAAAAATCATCACATTTAACTTTTTTACTACAGTAAAAAACTCACATAAAATTACATCTCAATTCGAATTAAAAACTCAAATCAACAAACTACAACGGACCTTAGAATTTCATCTAGCTGCTGCTTTAGAGTTATCTTATATTTAACTTGCGGAGATTTCAGTATTAGGACATTTCTGTTTCTATTATTCAAAATGCATACGAATTAAGCCCTGTTCATTTCACCAATTCAACTTTAAAATTTAAGTTTACTACAGTAAATTTTTTTTAAAAATCATCACATTTAACCTTTTTACTACAGTAAAAAACTCTCACATAAAATTACATCTCAACTTGAATTAAAAACTCAAATCAACAAACTAAACGGACCTTAAAATTTCATCTGGCTGCTTTAGAGTTATCTTATATTTAACTTGCGGAGATTTCGGTATTAATACATGAAAATTGTGATGGCAAAAGCGTAATAAAAAGGGCACCAATCCCCTCAAAAAAAAAAAAAAAGAAAAGAAAAAAAAAAGGGCACCATTTTCATGCCTTAAAGGAGGCGACAGAGAATCCATGCAAAATAAGTATTTGATACAAATTTGAAAACTGTCAATAGGCAACAACAAAAGCAAACATACAAATTCCTCGGCATCTATCAAGAAAAGAACTTAACCTCACTAACCAACGAGATCCCTGAAATGCCCAGAGAAGTCTTTTGCCCCCCAACAGAAACCATTTGTGACCCGTCATAATTATCGCTAAAAGAAATCAAACTCAAGATAATTATTTGAGCCTTTTTGATCTGGAGCTCCTATGATGGTAGGAGCCTTTTCACTAGATGAAGCCGTCGGAGGAGGAATCCGCTCGATCTCGATGGGCTTGGGGATCTCGGGTGGGGTGGCACAGCGTATCAAAGCCCAATTTACGCCTTCAAAGAAGGGGTGTTGCTTAACCTCGGTTGCCCCTCGTTTGTACGCCAATCGGTTCTGTGGTTCCTTTACAAGCAACCCCCTTATGAGATCTCTTGCAGCAAAACTGACAACTGGTGATTCCGGAAACCGTAGAGGCTGCCCAACCACATTGAACAACGTTGCTCGATTCCCGGATCCCTTGAATGGAGTCTTACCAAACAAGAGTTCGTACAAAAAGATTCCAAAAGTCCACCAATCAACAGCACTTCCGTGACCTTCACCCTTGATGATTTCCGGTGCCAAATATTCGTGCGTACCGACAAATGACATAGACCGAGCATCTGTTGGCTCTGCCATGAGCTCGGGTAAAGGGCTAACTTGGTTTCCAACCTCGTTCTTGGGTTTCCTATCTTTCTTGGATTTGCTAGAGAAGAGGCGGGGCGAGAAGCACGTGGTTGGAGCCACACAGGATGGCTGGATACAAGAAGGCTCTATGCAAGCTGGCTGGACACAATAGACAGGGTTCTTTCGCAAGGGCTCGGACTCCATTGATGAGGTTTTGACAAGAGTTGGACTGACGGTACAACGGAGGGAAAGGTCAAAGTCGGAGAGCATTATGTGCCCATCATCCCTCACCAGCACATTCTCAGGCTTAAGGTCACGGTAAACAATCCCAAGCATGTGGAGGTATTCAAGCGCAAGCAGAACTTCTGCTACATAAAATCTGCAAGTCATAATGAAAAGCAACGATTGTCACCATCGTTTTTTGTACACAAATACGATATACCAATTGTAACCTAATCTCTTTAAGGCACTCTCCTTCCTCGGGTTAATTGACCGCCCAATCTCAAAACATTTTCGAGTAAATATCCATTCTCAGTTTGCAAAAGAGGACTGCCTGAATTCCAAGTAAAACAATATATACATTGTATCCACCAGTTAAAACCTGAACAACACATCTAAACATTCCTAGCATGAAACTCTCGAATTTCTTCTCAAGTGACACTAGCAGATTTAGGTCTCTATGTTTTGGATATGTTATAATCAGTCTTTCATGTGTCAAAATCAGAATGAATAAGAACAAAGAAAATCAATGTTTGGCAGAATTCCACAATGCCGTGAATAAAACACCAGAGGAAATAGAATATAATAGGAGGCGTATATGAACATTCCACCAGAGGTGAGTTTAAATAACAAAAGGGGATTTCTAAAATTTTTTGGTCTTCCTAGTCAGGGGCATCTGTTAATACCTGCAAAAAGAAGCGTATAACGAACCACCCACCCCACATAACTTGACTCATCTGTCAGACTCATAGTGAAATAAAATATATGAGAAATACTTACTGTAGAATAAAAAATAAATATGAAATTGATACACTATAAGAACTGTATGGCAAAACTTTTCTGCAGGGGACAAGCGCATGAGACTTAACAACTACTCAACCAAGAAATGATGATTGATGATGATTTGCAAGGAATGTGTAAATAAAGTTAAGCAAACATACTTTACTGCTTGCTCGGGAAAATGTTTCCCTGGCTGCCTCTGCCTAAGAGTGTGCAAATCTCCTCCGGGACAGAACTCCATCACCAAGCATGAGAACTTCTCTGTCTCAAAGTGAGTGTATAGAGTTGGAAGAAAAGGATGATCCAGAGATTGCAGTATTTCTCTTTCCGTCTGAGCACGCAGAAGCTTCTTACGACTTGCTAGAGAACCTTTGTCCATAACCTTCATCGCGAAATAACATTTAGTTCCACTCAACTCTGAGAGATAAACACTCCCAATATCCCCACAACCCAACCGTTTTAGGAGTCTAAAATGACCCAAACCCAGAACCCCATCTCTTGCTCGGACAGCTTGGATGGCTTCCCATCTCAAGTCATTCGCTTTGTGAGGTTTGTTTATGCTGCTACTAAAGCTGCTACAACTACTCTCGTCGCTCACATCGCTGCTCGTGCTCCCTCTACACATGCTGCTCTTTCCACTCTCAACAAAATCAATCCGGTCACTAATCTTTGCACTTCCACTAGTCTTGGCAAGACTGCTGGCCCCATCGCTAACCTTGGCAGATACGGAACTGTCCTTCACACTTCCATACTCCGACGTCTTCTTTTCTTGATCGACCGAACTTTCTAGAGAGCCACGAGTATCAGTAACAGCAGAACCTACTTCTGTTGATGCTTGCTCCGACAACGAGCTCGAATTCAATTTATTAATCAAGGAATCAAAAGTTCCATTTTGATTAGAATTGGGTGACTTTTTACGCTCAGGAGCTTCTACTGCAGTCTTCTTTGATGTGTTCTGTAAAGATTTGGGTAATTGTTCAGGAGTAGCACGCTCCGGTTTGCTTGACCCCAAAACTGGCTGAGGCAATGGCCTGACATCATTAGTTTGTACAGTCTGAATAACAGCTGTTTTCTGCTGCACCTTTGAGGAAGCTCGTAAACCCGTTTTTGAGGCCATTAACGATGCCAAAAATGATTTCTGTTGTTAATCAGATTGAGAAATTTCATTGGTCATCATACATTACCAACAATGGTTTATCTTCCATTAGCAGGCCAAAACACTCCCTCCTCAACTCTGCCAAGAACAATACTTTATTATTTATCAGAAACATCTTTAACAAGTAACAAAGAATTATTGCCTTCAAAGGTACAAAAGAAAGCAAGGAAGGTGATAGATTACCGCAAGCATAGTTGTCAAATCAAAAGAGAAAAGAAAACTTAGCAAAAATGGGAATATAGCCTAAACCAGTTTCCACTACACGTGACCCAACAATGGATCACACAGTATGATCAAAGATCAACACCTAGAACAGAATCTAAACGACAACCTAAGTAAAACTCTGATGGGCTTTTAGACAACAATGTGTCAGGAGCTATGCCGAAAAAAAAATGGAGAAAAAATGTAAACTTTCAATAGCAAATAGTACCATAACACAAAACCCAATTTCATGAATAATTTTTTTTCCCAGAAAAGACATTGATTCAATTCCTAAGCTGCATGCACACCCTGATCAGACGATTTCAAATGGATATGGGAAAGTAAAGAACCCAATCCGGAATTTTCCCAAAATCCCCAAAACAGAAAAACTGAGAGAAAGAAGAAATGGAAAAAATTGAAGAGATTCAGAACAAACATGACGAATTAACATACCACAAAAACATGTAAAATATAACCTAACAACAAATGAAAAAAAATGCAGTTTTTAGCCATTTTTAATCATCCCAAAAAGGATAGCATCGCAAGAACGATCTCAATAAACGTGATCGAGGGACCAATTACACAAAAACTAGATCTAGAATCACAGAACCGCGAGTTTCAGCGAAAACCCAGTACAGATCGGAGAGCACAAAGAAACCCAGATGCGAAAGAGACATAGAAAACCCATAAGGAAAAAAAAAAGGGAAATCGCTGGAAAAAGGGGAAAGCTGGGGAATAAAGAGCAGCTACCTACCAATATGAAGAAGAAGGATCAGAGTGTTGCAGTGTTGAAAAGAGAAGTCCTTGTTGCTTAGTTAATAAACTTGTGTTTTGTTGGAGAGTGAAGAGGAAGAGAGAGAGAGAGAGAGAGAACAAATTGGAAACTTGAGGAAAAGCAACAAAATGCACCGGGCCTCCGCTTCTGATGGACTATTAGACACAGAAGAGGAGAGAGAGAGAGAGGAGAGAGAGAGAGGGACAGAGAGGGGTCTAAGCAAAAGTAAAGCTTTTATTTTTTATTATTGTTTTTTCATTTATTTTTTTGTCATGCAATAATTTCATTGGTTTTTTGTCCCGAAACTGAAGGCGTCCGAATCAACCGAAGAACTCTCAGGTCACGCACCTGTCTCTCACAACTCACAACTCACAGCTCACAAGTCACACCTTTCCCCAAATAAAAATTCAATTCTTGAGTAAAATTAAAATTCCATATTTAGAATAATGGGTACGTTTGAAATTATTTTTAAAAATATTTTCGTACATCTTTTAAAATATGAAAATGAAAATAGTTTATCAATCGTGTTTATTTAATAAAAAATTTAAAAATAGAAACGAAAATAAAAAATAATGGTCGCGTTTGGAATTCATCTTAAAATAATTTTGTTTTTTGTATGAAAATAAAAATGAAAACATTTTTAACCTCAGACAGAAATTATTTTTGAAAATGCGTTTGGTAGTTTAATTAATAGATTATTTTAAGTGTAAAAAAACCTATTAATGTATATCTTTCTCTTTCTTCTACTTGAGGGAGTAGAAAACGAAAACAAAAAATGAAAAATGACTAAAAATCATTTTTCATTTCTCTCTCATTTTACACTAAACTAAAAAATCATTTTCATTTTCCTTTTTTGTCTTTATTGCGTCAAACGTCGTTTTGAAAACGTTCTCATTTTTTCTTTCTCGAAAAACATGAAAAACAAAAACGGAATAAATTCCAAACACGGCCAATGAGAATGATTTTTGAAAACGATTGAAAGTTATTTTCTATTTTCTGTTTTCATTTTTTAGTATTTATCAATAAAATTATATTAAATAATTAATAATTAATTACTAATTATATTTTTTATTAATTAATAATTAATAAATAGATATACTTAATAACTAATAAATAGATAATAATTATTTAATTATTAATTAAATATTAATTTATT